TCATACGAGACACGAGGACGACGAGATAGTTGAAATCGTAAGTATTTATAATTTTTTAAATTTGAAAACTTATTTTTTAACTTCACTGTTCCAAACTAACACATTATTATTTAATTGATGGGGCGGTTGTGGTATGTTCGCAATAAAGTAAATTAAATTTTTTTAGTATAATACATAAGGTCGATAGAATCAATTAATGATGGATACAAAATTAGAGGAATAAGTTAGTGTGCGATTTGTATGAATTCAATTGTGACCCGTAAATATTGTTTATTTAATTGTGGAAAATTGTAAATATTGTAAAAAAAATGTAAATATTGTATATTTAATGGTTTATTTAATTGTAAATATTGTATATTTAATTGTAAAATAATTGAAAATAGTGTAAAAATATGTAAATATTGTTCATTTAATAGTGACACCGTTACACGTCCGTCTAATTGTCATTTAGGAGAATCTGACTTGTACAAAATTAATGAGTATGCCCTATTGTTTTGCACCTGCCGTACCTACGCGGACGGAAAAACTCTTCGCTATATGATATTTCAGATGTATGTGGAGGTCTAAGACCACGCGGTTCAACTACGGGTGGCAACAAACTATTAAATGGGAGAATATGGTCGGGAACTTTCCACTCAACTTCATTCGGTAGAGAAAATATAGTCTCAGCATAGCATACGTTGCTCTCCAATAATCAGCCGTGTAATAATGAGAGCATGAGGTTCTCGCTGCAAAGTCTCTATACATAGCCACTACGACTGCATGCTCACACGAAAAACTCTTCAACTGAAATCGACTACAATTACAGACGTTATCAATCAAGCCTACCATGTATGCGATATTACGTACACATTTCAATGAGAAGCGCAACTCATCCAGTGATTCCACATTCAAATTCCTCACAACTTCTGCAACCTTGAAAAGTTTATCCTCTTAAACCGGTGTAGTACGCTCGTGCAACTCTGTGATTCCGCACGTTGGTCGAGAAACTAGTGTTGCAACTTGTTACGAATGTTCTCAATCATCGTGAGGATTGGTAACTCTCGATCCTTTTTAAATAATGCATTGGGAGACTTCGCATTATTTGACATCATCATGTTGTATCGACGTCCTAAAAAATGTGACCGTGCCCATGTTCAATCCCCATTTTTGTTAGATACTCCCATACCTGGAAGGATTTACTTCATATTTTCACCATAAACTTATTACACTCTTCAATATTGTAAGTTTCGGTCGCTCTCCTAAATGATGAAACAATGTCTTTGCCCCGATACTTAGTCTTTGGTTGCCTTCTATACGATACATGCAATACACATGATGTACCTCGGGAAAAACTTCTGTGATACCATTTATTATAGACATTCCCCGGTCAGTTACAAAGGTAAGGTCCTTGACTTCCCCGATTACTTCCCTCAGTTTTGTAAAGAACCAACCCATTGACAATCATTCTCGCTATCGACTATGTCGAATGCAAGAAGGTAAATTTGGATGTTGGTATCTTGACATGTAGTAATGATCAACTTGTCTTCATTTCTAGCTTTCAGAGTTGTACCATCAACTAGAATTAAGGGTTGCATCGCATTTCGAAATCCCCAAATGAATTGTCCAAGAGTCATAAAGAAAAATTTAAAGCAATTCTCGCCATTCGTCTCAATAAAAAATGTCGAGTCAGATTAGTTGTCCCCATGTTATGGCCATACCTAGCCAATTTAGTATAGATCTCCTCGACCGAGCCCATTAAATCTTTCAACGCGATTCTTTGGTCTTCTGGTAGCTCATTACCGCTTCGTACTCTCGACGCACGTCGTTAATGATATCTGAATGTCTTTAGATCGTCCATGGGTCCGGTGCTAGTGCATTATCTGTCGACCAATAAATCATGCCCGGACTTGCCTATGATCATTTCAATAAATTTTCACTTTGCAAATACGTTCCCGTATATACTTGCGAACTACAAATACGTTTAAACAAAGTCTCTATACATAGCTGCAAAGTCTCTATACATAGCCACTACGACTGCATGCTCACACGAAAAACTCTTCAACTGAAATCGACTACAATTACAGACGTTATCAGTCAAGCCCACCATGTATGCGATATTACGTACACATTTCAATGAGAAGCGCAACTCATCCAGTGATTCCACATTCAAATTCCTCACAACCTCTGCAACCTTGAAGAGTTTATCCTCTTAAACCGGTGTAGCACGCTCGTGCAATTCTGTGATTCCGCACGTTGGTCGTGAAACTAATGTTGCAACTTGTTACGAATGTTCTCAATCATTGTGAGGATTGGTAACTCTCGATCCTTTTTGAATAATGCATTGGGAGATTTCGCATTATTTGACATCATCATGTTGTATCGACGTCCTAAAAAATGTGACCGTGCCCATGTTCAATCCCCATTTTTGTTAGATACTCCCATACCTGGAAGGATTTACTTCATATTTTCACCATAAACTTATTACACTCTTCAATATTGTAAGTTT